AGCACAGATTCAAAGGTGAAATGACGAAGGATGCCAAGATGGTGACCGACTAGAGGGCGCTTGCATGAAGCCTTTCTGATTGTAGGGCCCTGTGAGACAGCACTTAACTAAAGGCTTAGGGAGTTAGCTCTGGGCTGTGAGAAACCAGAGAACTACGAGAAAAGATTTCGGAGCCCAAGGCACCTATAGGAGAGCCCAGGAAGAAGATAAGAAGCATTCCTCTACTCACTTTACCTTCAACAGATGGCAGGGCCACACAGACTTTCTTAAAGGCCATTTGTGATCAGTGCTCTCACGAGCTTTCTGTACCCTGTCATTTTGCAAATTCTAAATGCTGGATTTCTTCCTCCCCCTCCCTCCCATATACTGCCCCCTCACCCAAGTAGGGGTGTGTGACTGAGAAGAGGGACACCCCTACACCTAGTTACACCAGGGAATCTTCCATGTGCAAGATTTTCCCTGCAAGGAAGGTCTGTGTGGAAAGCATGGCAGAAGGAACTGGCCCAGCTCACTTGTGCTGGTGGAATGAAATCCAAGGCGCTGCAGGAAAATCTGTTTGATGGAACTGAAAAAGCGCATTAGTACCCGTGAGGCAGGAGTGGGCCAGGCTGGGAGTGTGGGCAAGTTGGCCACGGTGAAGCCCAAGTACCTGGCAGGAGAAGAGCAACTTGGCCTGGATTGACAATGGCCTTTAGTGAGAACTCCCAGTGCAGAGGGGGAATGAGTTCTTAGAGAAAGCAGAGGAAAAATCTCCCTCCCTCCAAGACTAAGTGGGTGGATCAGGCTTGCATAAGCCATCAAATACCTAGCCTGCAGCTCTGGCACCTCGAATCCAGAGAAGGAACCTGCTGCGTCTCAGCTGGGTGTGGATGGGTCTGGTTGCCAGTTCCCCACACTATAGTCCCATCCGTTGGCCACAGAACTACCCAAAGCAATTTTCCGTTCTCTCTCTCTTTCTCTCTCTCTCTCTCTCTCTTTTTTTTTTTTTTTTACAAATCCAGAGATAATCTGGCACGTTGTTCAAGTTTTTCAGCCAGGCAGGGGGCTCATGACCCATAACAGATGTCAGCAGGGGACGGCTATGACTGACCTCTGGCAGTGGCCGCCAGCAATTCAGTCAGCAGTCTTTATGTAAGTCCCTGACTTGCATGCTGGTGGTGTTTCATCTAGGCCTGGTTTATTCCTTGTGTTTCCAGGGCAGAGTGGGGTGACTGCTGGGGTGTGGTCAGCGGTCAGCCTACCTTGCAGATAAACAGCTTCTACTTATGAAACGAGAAAAAACAAACAAACCAACAAAAAACCAGGCATTGCACCCTCGACAGCCTCGAGGGTCAGACTTGCTTGAGGACTGTTTTCTGAAGTACGGGGAGCAGAACCGCTGCGCGGAACTGCCAAGCTGTGCTTGTGAATATTTGCAGAGGACCTACCTCTTCATGGTTCAGGAGTCTGGGGGCAGGGCGGTTGGAAGGTTTGCTTAGGAGAAGAAGAAACAAAATTGACCTCATGGGCTGAAGCAGCCATTAAAAAAATGAAGTAAAGAGTGTATGGGCAGAAGACCAAGAAGTGGAGGGGGAAATGGTCTCAAGTTTATTAAACACAAAGGAGAATCAAAATAAATCTCAAGAGCACTCATTTACAAATGTGGCGAAGGATGAGATTGGGGCAGGTGGGTGTGAGAGGTGGATATGTTCCGAAGTAGAGCAGGCTAGAAGGGAAGGGAAATAATGATTGTGATGTTTACTTTTCCTAAGAACTGGAAACCCACTTTAAGTAGCTTTGCTACTTCGGATGCTCCTTCAGAGGATGTATAAAGTTTTGGTTGTCTAATGATGAGGCGCCACAAAGATGCACGCTGACACTTGGTTTGCGGACAATTCTAGCCTAGTGAGAGGCTCTGTGAAGGCAGAGAACCTGGCCTCAGCTCTGAGCTGGCTTTCCTGCTGGTCAGATAATACCAGCCTTTCCAGCCATTGGGGTGGGCGTGTTGCAAGACAGAGGAGTATTTATTCCTTTTCAGTAGCTACTGTGCTACTGGTAGGCGTCACATTGGGCTGCAACCCACCTGGTCGCAGTTCAAAACCACCAACAACTCTGCAGGAGAAAGAAGGGGCTTTCTACTCCCATACACAGTTAGAGTCTTGGGAAGCTGCAATGGGTCACCAAGAGTCAGCATTGACTCAATGGCAGTGAGTTTGATCTTTTGGTTTGATGCTTGTAGTACGAGTTGCCATGGGGTCAACTCTCATTCATAGAGACCTCACCCGTGTCAGAGTAGAACCTTGATTCAAAGGGGTTTCTTGGCTATTATCTTCATGGGTCTAGTTCAGTGGTTCTCAACCTTCCAAATGCTATGACCCTTGAATAGAGTTCCTCATGTTGTGGTGACCCCCCCCCAACCATAACATTATTTTCCTTGCTACTTCATAACTATAATTTTGCTACTGTTATGAATTGGGAGACCTCTGTGAAAAGGTCATTTGACTCCCAAAGGCGTCGTGACCCCCAGGTTGAGAATTGCTGTTCTAGATGGACAGGGTTTTCTTTTGAGATACCTCTGAGCGTATTTGAATCGCCAGTTAACATTGGCGTGCATTAATCACCTGAGTATATAAAACACCTGTGCTACCTAGTTGTTGCGTGTCCTTGAGTCGAATCCCACTTGTATCAGGTCCAACTGACCAAGAGAAGCTGCCCCATACATTTGTCTAGGGTGTAATCTTCATGGGAGCAGATCAGCAGGCCTTTTCTCCTCTCTTCAGAGTTGCTATTGCGTTAGAACAGCTGACCTTGCAGTTAGCAGCCGAGGGCTTCACTGCCAGGCCACTGGGGCTCCCTGTTCGGCTATGCTAGGTGGCTCACAAACTTTTCTGCTTGTCTGTAGATGTTTGTCATCTTGAAAAACGGTTTCCTAGTTCTTTCAGAGCACATCCAAGGCAGGTCAGCCGCATGTCTGCACGAATGCTTTCTGCTCTCCCAAACCTGAATACTTTGGATTTTTTGGTTTTTGTTTGTTTGTTTCTGAGGCTTTTGGTTTCGTAGACTTACAAGGCCCCAGTTCACACGCAGTTGTTTTAAAATGTGCTGAGTGCCGAGCGCGTACTAGTCATCAAGCCGAGTGCGGCATGGAATTCGCCGCTTCCCCATGAGCTGGCTTTCTGAGCATCACGGGAATGGGGAGAGGTCTGGGGAAACCCTGCGGGGCTCTCAGGATGAACACATGTTGGTGTGTCCCTAGCAATCTCTTCAGTGGCATCACCTGGGCACAGATTTCCCAAGAGATCATGAAAGGTAGCTATTTCTATTTTAAGGGTGGCTTATTTACTTCATAAGAAGTTAGTCTCGCCAACAGCTAGATGCCCGTGTCTGTCAGACTCTGTTGCCAATCAGCTCGGCATTTGGTGACCTCCATGTGTGCAGGAGCCTGGCTCTGGTGTGTGCAGGAGGAAGAAAGATTGGCAAACAGGATGTCTGCCCTCAAGATTCTTAAAGTTTCATGAGGGGAAAAATCCAAATAAATAATATAAACATCATATACACAAGTAATACAAATGTTTTGTTTTTTTTAACAAAATGAACGGAATGCCTAGGTTGTAATCAAGCTGCATAAATGAAGAGAGGGTAGAAAGTAAGGAGACCACCAGTGTTGGATGGAACGTTCAAGAATAGTGAAAGCAAACTGGGCAGGAGGGTTTGCAGGGGTTTCATAGTAGCACATGGTACCAAGTGCCCGGTCTACTCTTGTTGCTAGGTGCCATCAAATTGATTGGATTCATGGCAACCATAGCACAACAGAACCAAAGACTGCCCAGTCCATCACTGTCCACACAATTACTGTTACGTTTGAGCCCATTGATGCTCACTCTGTAAATCCAGCACCCTGAGGGTCTTCCTATGTTTTGGCAGCCGTCTACTTTACCAAACATGACATTCTTTTCCCATGGCTTGTCTCCTGATGTCTAAAGTATGTGAGAAAAAGCCTACTCCAACTAAATGAACACTACATATGAAAACACGGAGGTGGAATAGGATCTACTTTGGTCTTTAGCTAGCCATGTTGGAAGGCTCTGATGGCCCACCACCACACAGTTGCTGTTGAATCAACTCTGACTCACATCAACCCCATGTATGTAGAACACACAGAGTAGAACGGTGCCCCACAGGGCTTTCAATGACTGTTTTCTGAAATAGGTTCCCAGGTGTTTCTTTTGAGATACAACTGACTTCATTCAAAGTTCCAACCTTTCAGGTAGCAGCCAAGTCCATTAACCATGCTTACCACCCAAGGACCCCTGAAAGAGATTAGAGGAATCTGAAGTGTTAGCATGAGCTTGAAATTGTCTGGTATGAGCTGCCTCTCTATATGCTTGATCTGGGATAGCTGATATATGGATATTGTTTTGTTTGTCGAAATTTTTTTACCGTAACTTGGGTAGAGAATGTATTTGCTCCTATGAGTGTGAAAACCCCAAATCTGGAAGCCAAAAAAGATGCAATACATGAGCCTGGATAGAGTAGGGTATTGGATGCCAAACTTCCAAGGGAAAAAAATATATGGGCAAACTGCTTGCCATTAGGAGCTATTTTCTTGGCACATCTGATTAAAGTGTATGCTGGCCTGACTGCTTTCTTTAGGCGTCAACTGTCATGAACGTGTTCCAAATCATAACCGTCTAGGATTTTCCACCACTCTGTCAACTTTCAAAGGATAGGGTTAACTGCGTGCCCTGAAAAGGAGTTGGAAATGGTTTGTTAATCTCTATTAATCTGCTACCCCTGTAACCAAGTGCACATGTTTGTTCTTTTCTGTCTTTCCCCCCTGCCCCCCTCTCCCCGCCCCCCTACCCCAGTTAAATTGTTAATGGTATTAAATTGGTCCTTGGAAACGAAACCGTCCTGTAGATAGTTCCCTTCTGGTTTCTTGGGACTGCCTCGTGCTGCGGTCTTTTTTGCGAGAACAATGGATTTTTATCATTTTCAACGATTGCCCTAACTTTTTACAGATGCCATCCCGCCTACGTTCTACAGACCCTACTTCAGAATTGTACGATTTGATGTCTCAGCGATGGAGAAGAATGCTTCCAATTTGGTGAAAGCCGAGTTCAGAGTCTTCCGTTTGCAGAATCCCAAAGCCAGAGTGCCTGAACAACGGATAGAGCTGTATCAGGTAACTTGTCCTTGAGTTATTTGAGCCAGTTGGCGACCACCAGGTAAAAGACTTTCTACTGTCTTACTGTTTTTACCCCCTTAACTTGGTTGATACAGCCATTTTATACATTCACAATCTCAAAATTTACTTGCCATGAAGCCTCTACTGACTCACGGTGCTCCCAAGGCTGTCAGAGGAGAACTGTGCTCCAAAGAGTTCAATGGCTCCTTTACAGAGGTAGAGCATGGTCAGGCCTTTCTTTGAAGATGCATCTGGGTGGATTTGAACCTCCAACCTTCCACTTAGCAGGCAAGCCATTTGTGCTATAGGCGCTCCTTTATTACCATTGCTGGAGTGATAGGGAGCATATTCTTCAGTCACTCTAGAAGCAGGAGCCTGTAGACTGTAGCAGTGACGCTCGGCACACCTAGTCAAGTGGTATGAAGAGCTGGAGGAGCCCAGTGGGAGGACTTCACGCCAGAAACCCCCCCCCCCCTCATCTGGACAATCAGCAAATGGCGGCCTGATTCCACCCTCAGGAGAAAAGTCAGCTGGACCCCCCTTCCTTGTCCTGCAGCTCTCCCTTTCTGTGTGTCTTTCCTTTCGTCTTCCTGCCTATTGTCTTCTCCCTCCCTGGTTTTGCTGCTTCCTGTCTCTTCCCTAACCACATCCGGTTTTCCTCTCTCCTCTGCTTCTACCATTCTGGGTCAGTTTAACACACACACACACACCCCACACACACACATGTTCCTTTCCTCCACTCTTTCTGGAACCTTTACAACCACTTCTCGGTCATCTTTCTAAGTAGGCAGCTGTGTCCTGACAGTGATGGTGATGGCGATGAAGTGCCACATTACAAGGGTGACAGATAGTCACAAACCTTTGTATATTACTCAAGTGAGAGCTACAAACCAGTAGCATCAGCAGCACCTGTGAGAAATGCAGAAATTTAGCCTCCAACCCAGAACTACTAAGTCAGAATCTACATGTTAACACGATTTGGATGTATCGTAAAGCAATCCTGTAAATGCCTTGAGTCGGGTGAGGGACATAGCTGGATTAATCAGACTCATCCAAACCCAAACTCATTGCCACCAGGTCAACTCTGCCGCCGTGTGACTCTCTAACGGTCTAGATCGGACCCACCGGGTTCTCCAGGCCCGCAAACCTTCCCAGAAGCAAACTGCCACAGCTTTCTACCATGGGGCAACTCCTTTTGGCTTGCAATCAAGCACTTTAACCAATGTGCCACTCGGAATCCTTAGTCAGACCGAGGCACTGTCAAGTCCACTCGGATTCAAGGCCACCTATATGTGTCAGGGTAGTTCTGTGCTCCATAGAGTTTTCAGTGGCTGATATTTTCCAGAAGAAGGTCAGCAGGTTTGTTTGTTTATTTTTTTTTTTCCAGAGGTGACTCTGGGCGGACTCAAACCCCCAACTTTTCAGTTAGGAGCTGAGCACCATCTGTAATCCCTCCTCCCTCAAGGACTCGGTGATGTAAACAGATGGCTGACATTCACAGTGTCCCATGAACCGTTTGTACAAGCATTGACTATAGAGTTTAGAAGTCTTCACCAGGGAGCTGAGAATATGAGTGAAAACCATTCAAACACGAAGACCTGCAAGGCCCTCGAGAAGTCACCCCACACCTGAAGCAGAGGACCAGGAAAAAGGAGGGACCGAGGCAGTTGCCCCTCAAGGCAAATGCACAGAGGAAGAAACAAAGGGGGTGCAGCGCAGACCCAGAGGTGCCCGGTGACAATGTGGTGTGTGAAGTGAATGTCATTGAGGAAAAGGAAAGGATTGACATCTAGATGCAGAAACGTCCGATTATTCCCTATTGTAAACATCTGGGAACCTGTGTCCTTTGGAGGAGAATTTCCTCTGCGTGCACTATGAAAATAGAGATATACAAATAAGCCTTGAATGTGAGACCTCAGAGAATAAACTTAAATGTTTTAAAGCCATTTTGAAGTATTAATTTACAAGTGTGTTCATTAAAAATCAATCTTAGTGAAATGGGTCCCTAAGAACCTCTCCTGGGATTTGTTCCAATCTGGTTAATGTGTGTTCTGAGAGTGGCCTACCACTCCATACCTGGGATGCCACCATCGCTTGACATCACCTGGTAGGATCAGGCAGAGATAATGCGTCCCAGACACTATGCTGAATACTAGCTAAGTCGTGCCTCGGTTAACACTCCTAACAATGCTACAATGTGTGCACAATGCAGGGCTTTTTCTAGTACTATGTTCTCCTCTCTTTTACAGAGAATAACTGTGATTCACCAAGAAATGAGGTCACTTGGCTAGGGTCACAGCACTAGGAAGTGTCAGGACTGGCTAGGAATCCATTCTGACTCCCAGCTCTCTGCCCCTCACCACATCGTATGCTGCTGCTAGCACCTTGTTCCCTTTTGCTCTCCCTCTGTGTTAGCCAGAAGAGAAGGAAAATAAAAGAAAGTAGGCCAGAGGGTGGAGTGATCCTTGGAGGGAAAGTAAAGACTGGTTCCGCCAAAGAAAAAGCCAGCTTAAAGGTAGCCAAATACGTTGCAAGGTAATTTAAAAGAGAAAAAGAAAAAAGATGGAGAGTGAACAAATTCCCATCCGTGAATGTATCACATCTATTTTCTAAATTCTAGTTTCATTAAAGCGTTCTTCCATCTTTGCTGACAGCAGCATCACGGATTCGCTGAGTACGTGGATTTTAGTACATTGAAAGCAGGGTCTTCTAGGTTTTGTGTAACATAAGCTGCTAAAACATGGTCAGTCTTTGTGCTGCGCCCCACCCTCCCACCCCCAGCTGCCCCCCTTGTGATCTGAAGAGGGGCCTCAGGCAGAAGTATTACTGCTGACTTGCCTTACTCTCAGAGACCAAAAGGTCTTTGGCAGGACATGCATCCACTGAGGCTGATAACTTAGAGGACCCTTAATGAGTCCTTGGTGGGCGTGTCCCTTCTCAGTCATCATGAACACAACGGCTGCCCATGATGTGAGTAAAAGTATCCGGATGGATTAGAGTAGCATCCTCAGATAAGAAAGATCCAGATCCGGATGCAAGCATATAGTTTGGAAAGGGTGAACGTGGGCATCTCCACTGCCACAGAACACGGGAATCTGAAAGGAGATGCTTTTAGAGCAAACATAAGGAAGGATAACATCTCCTTATCTCTCTCAAGCTCAGCTGTGTAGCAATATTACCTTCTGAAACTCAGCCAAGATCCAGGCGGTAGGCCAAAGAGATTTGAGAGCCTTATACCAGAAGAACAGCGTGCACACACACCCAGCATACTTGTAAGAAAAGAGTAACCTTTCGTCTTTATTCACTTATGACTTGGTTGGTTATCTTTAGGACTGGGCAACTCAAACCAAACTCCCTGCCATCGAGGCAATTCGAGTGTGGGGGTGGAGTGCTAGAGAAAGATATGTATAGGCTGAGAATTTTTGATCAACACCACAGTAATACTAGCCCATAACATCAAAATCACAGAACACAGGAACTTTTGTGGATAGTGTCCCTGAATCTTATCCTGCGTATAGTTGTATTAGTTTTCTAAGGCATCCATGGCAAAGTATCATAAACTTAATGGAACAGAAATGTGCTGTGTGGTAGTGCTGGAGGCTGGAAGCATGAAATCAATATACTCACCAAGTGGATTTCTTCTGAGGCTTTGAAAGAAGCTTGGTTCCATGACTCTTGTCTATCTTCTGGTGATGGCTGGTGGTCCTGGGTAGTCCTCGGCTTTGTACATGTGCTACTCCAATCTCGCCATCATCTGCTTTACCTCTATCTTCATCTGACTGTCTTCCACCTGTGTCAGTCTCACTGTGTTTGTTCTCCTCTTTGATAGGGACAGTGCACTCAGATGAGATTAAGCCCACCTACTGGGACAGGACTTGATTTCAACTTAATACAGTTTTGAAGACCATATATCCAAACAAGATCATGCCCACTAGTACCATGGATTAGGGCATCAGCACTTCTTTTGGGGTACACACTTCAATCCATCGTAATAGTTGCCCACGTTCTATCTTCTTGACCTGCCTCTGACATCTGATTCTGGCCTCTATATTTGGAGTCCCATTTTTTGCTTGTTGTTCTCTAATTTTCCCTGGCCTTCAGCTGCCAATTTTTATATCTTTGCAACCTCTGCTAATCAACTTCTTCTTCTTCTAGCTCCAGTACAAAAGGTTATGCATATGGTAGAAACTTTGAATTGCAAAGACAAGGCTGAATTGTAATCAGGAGACTGAACACATGCAATACATTTTAGAGAGAATTATATTGAGTAATAATTAAATATTATTTTGAAGCAGAGAAAAAAGCTTCATGCTAAATTGGCAGATCCTCAGCTGCTAGGAAAGATTGTTTAGTACAACAAGATCTTCAAAGTTTCCAGATTCCTGTTGGTTCCTGCATCATTTGGTATGCTACCCCCTAGAGAAAGGTAGAGTGACTTTGAATATGATCTCAAGGAGTTCAGCTGGTTGCCTGGATGATTTATGGGGATTCTTCAGAACATTGACTGTAATGATGGGGGAGTGTGTGTGTGCCTGCATGCATGTTCACTTGTGGGTACAGGCCATTTTACAAGGACTGTTCCACCCCACCCCCCACTCTCTCCCTGAAGATAGTGATTCTCCCTGGACAGGGCAAGGAGAGTTACTCCTCGATTATGCTGTTAGAATAAACTCTCCTGGTCACTCATTGGGGCCATTCTCCATTGGGAATTATGGATTCAAGGCATATCTCAAGAATTTTCAGGGCATTTTGACCCAGTTACTATTTCCAAAGTCTTGATAATACCCATATGAATTGACCTAAGGCAGAATTTCTGACACCTTGCCAGAGGGAATTGAGAGATTGTCTTTTCCTGGGTTATGCAGATATGCTGATTCTCCCAGTACTACAGAGGCAGGGAACCCCAGCCCTCTGTTGAAGGGAACTTGGGCTCCTATTCCCCTCCCTTCTCTAGAGCATCCTCTGCCAGGACTGCGATGGATGGGAGTTCTGAGTTC